CCAGTAATGATAGGGGGGCGGAGAGGACAGATCGTCTGTTGGCTCGACATATAGCAAAAATGGAAGGGCAGAAGAAGGATGGTCAGATCCGTCGCTGAGTGTGATGGGTTTGTTTCCACCTTTAGCCCCGACCAAAATTTCTGCCTCCACGTGATCACCGAGGTCGGATCGGACCCATTCATCCAATGCTTCGTCATCTGCCTCCCTTCGGAAGCTGTGCATAGCGAACAAGTCTGAGCCTACCTCGATGTGGCAGGTGTGAAGGGCGGCGTCCCAACCTTCTTTGAAAGCCTTCTTCTTGGCTTCCTCAAAAGCGAGGACCATTTGGTCTTGAGGGGCCACACACCCTCTAATACTCCGATTGTAGCCTTTCCTGCTCCCCCGCTTTTTCTGCTGTCAAGGAGTCCACTTTGACAGTGAGAGCGTTAATTACAGACTTAGACTCTTGCAGCTTGGCTTCGAAGGAGAACACTCGCAGCTTATACTCCTTAGCCTTCTTTATCGTTGCAACTTCACCCGCCTTGGCCTTTTTCAGCTTGGCATGAATGGCGTCTCGATGGCGGATGAGCTCGACGATGTGCTTGGTTTGGTCGCCGAGGGTCCTCTCGACCTTAAGGATGTGGTCGTCCTTAGCAGCTACGGCTCGCTTGGCATTTTTTGCCTCTTGCTTATATTCCCAAAAATGTTCAATGATGGCTCCCACCTGCTGGCTGGCCTAAAAAAGGAGGAATATTAGGGAACGACCAAAAGGGTGCGAGGGCTACTCGGGAAAGCGTTAAACTTACCACCAGGTTGTTTTGGATAGTACTTATGAGGAGCTGATTGTTCGAGTAACCTTTGTACACAGCCATATCGGCGTCAAATTGAAGCATCCCCGCAATGGCAAACGCCACTTCAAGGGACTGGAGGATGGAGTCGGCTTCCAGAATAGGCCGACCGCTCCTAGTCTCGGCCCGAGCAACCCACTAGCCCGAGACAGACGGGTTCGGGACCGGGGCCGGGGCATCATGCCGCTGCTTTACACGGCGCTCCTCAGATTGTTCAGCGTCCCGAGCACGCCTGTCCCTCAGCCGGTCTCCCAGAGCGTGGACTTGTTGAGATTGGGGCCTTTGCCTGGTCGGCACGGCCGGATCCCTGGGTTGCGTACGCAGCGACGACGGGGGCAGCTGCCTCCGAGGAGAAATGGGCTGGGGGATGATGGGGGCAGTGTTGGAAGGCCCGCCCAACTCGGCGAGCCTGGCTCTCCTTGCCGAGGCGGCGACCTCCATTGTAGCTGCGGTGATGGGTGGTGGATTAAACATCTCAGGTGCAAGTGGCTTGAAAGCGTGATGCTGAAACTTTTCTTTGGAACCTCCCTCGGATTCTTCCTCTTCCAACGAGGAGTGATCTTCCCAAACGGAAGAGTTGAAAGGAGGTGGGATCTGGGAGAATCGACTATAGGTCGGCGTGTAGCCGAGGAGGGTATGCGCCGCTTGTTCAACCGGGTCCGAGGACCAAACCCTTAGCAGGTCAGCAAACCGGACTTGGGACCTCTACGGTTGAGTAGCGTCCCAGCGATATCCTTCTGCAAAAATAAAGTAAAATCAGTACGTCCCTCAAACCCAAAAATAGATAAATCAAGAAGTCGAAAAGAAAACACACATTCATCCCTCGACACTTTGAGGTAGTACAATCCGTCATACTCGGGCCCGGTGCCTTTTTCACAACTGTCGCCAAGCATGATCAGATCGTTTACATATCCCTTGTTCGAGTCAGACATGTGGGGTAAACAAATACATTGAGGAATCTCGAGCCTGGAGGTAATATCTCCCCCCGGCGACTAGCCTTATGTCATAGCAGAATAAAATTTCGTCTATCCCTAATTTAATCCCCAGACGAGTGTTTAAGGTGAGTATGCCCATCACAATCCTAAAGAAATTAACCCTACATTAAAGGGGAAAGAGCTTCAGTTGCATCAATACTCCCAACAACAGGGGATGGAGGGGGAAGGTCAACCCTCCTTCCATGATGGCCTTCGTCTAAAAAGACATCATATCCACATTTCCTATATCCCTTATATGGTGAGTGGGGTTGAAGGGGAAAACAAAGACAGGCTCACGGATGTGGTACCTAACCCTAAAGGCTTGGATATTCTCATCAGTCACTTGGGTTCTTCTCATCTTATGGGTAGTACTAGCCTTAACAGACGTTTTCCCTCTGGTTCTACTTGTTCTAGTCATTGGTGGGCGCTAAGAGGATGAAATGTAGAGGAAATGAAGAGAGAAAAAGCTCAAGTGAAAGTACTTACAGGAAGGTGGTCTTCAAAGAGGACTCGGAGGACCAAGGAAACCCGGAGAACAGAAGAGCACTCGGGGTCTGACTGCTGAGGAGAGATTGAGGATGCAAAAGTTCTGAGAAGGTATGAAAATCTCCTATTTATACTGTCTCACAGGGAACGGGAATCGAAAAGTTGGATCATCATTAAAGCATTTAAAAAAGGCGGCACCAGACGTGCAAGTAACCATCGCTATTAATAAAGCGTGATGATGGAGCCCCAATCTCTTTACGCCACTTGTTTTGCGCTGCGAAAATGATTGCGGCTGGGGGGCAGTTGGCGGGACTCTAGTGTGGCTCTTCAGCCCCCGGGTTGACACGTGGAACAATGAAGCCGTTGGGATGGCCAAAGGATGCCGAGAAGGTAAGCCGATGTATGGTGACACGGAGCGGCCGAGTACGACAGTTGACATCGTATTTAATGCGATGTGACCCCACATTTATGGCGGAATGAGTGATAGTGACAAGACAAATAAATGCGCGTCTGCCGGCACCTGCCCTCTAGGAGTCTAAGCTTACTGTTATGATGGTTAAGCATTAATAGCTGATGCGCCGAGACGACGCGATCAGCTCTCTCGAGGAACTGTTTCGCCGAGTATTCAATGCTCAATTGGTGTCAGATACCGACCTGGGGGATTTGGGTACTCGAGGAGTGGCATAAATGCTCGACGCATGGCCGAGCGTTTACCCCATTTTCCTAGCATTCAATAAGAGGAGACGTGAATAGAAAACACTCATTGCACGAGGAATGATGTGTCCAATGTGAGATGTCCAGATGGGACTGAAGATCTTTGACAATCATTATTAATTCATGTATAAATATTTCTCAGAAAAATGGACAAAGGTACGCAAACTCGAACCAGAAAAAGTCCAAAAGCAAAACTCTTCGATCTTATACTGACTTAAGCTTGGAAGGGGATTAGCCGGGCACACGCCTGACCCCCTTTTTTTCTAACCCTGTTGTTTCAAGTTCACCGATTGAGAGATCGCTGCTTCACACAATTGCAGAAATTATCCCGTGCAGTTCACATCAAGAATCTACCATTGTTTAGATCAAGATGTCGATTATTTTAATCTAGATAATTACAATTTACAAACTATATCATTTCTGTATTTGTTGATGTAGGTTATTTTGATTTATTATTTTATGTAATTAGAAAATTATAATAATTCTGTATTTATAAAACTCATGATTACCCTCAAAAAGTACAAACTCACCCATAAAATTAGACCTATCCATGAAATATAAATTTCACTCTATTTTTATACCTCAACAAAGTGTGCGCAAATTAGTTTAGACATTTTTGACTCTTAAACCAAAAAAATATATATGAGTAACAACAAATATAACACAATCAATCACGAATTCAACTGTTTTTATTGAAAGTTGGTTATGTTTATAATTAATACTTACAAATGTTAGTATTTGTGAAATTTTTTGATTTCTTATTTTATCTCTAATTTTATTATAAAGTCAATGGTACTTATATACTAGTTTCTTCTAATTTTTATTTTTTATACTTATTTGACTTCTAAGTAATTTTGAATTCTTTGATTAACAATATTTCATTTCTAAATTTTATATTACTTTCATTCAAATTTTATTTCCTATGCTCATTTGACTTATAAGTACTTTTTAGACTCTTTTATTAATTGTATTTGTTTTTTAAATTTTTTTGAACTCATTTATTAATAGTACATTTGCATACAATTTTCTATATCTATGTCTATATTTATATAAAAAAATAAAGTCTAATCTATATTCTATTATTCTACCATCCAATATATGTTATAATTGATTTTTTTGACATACAATAATATCATATTATTACAATACAAATAATAGTATTGTAATTTAATCAGTTTCTTTGATAAAAATATAATAAATTTATAATATAATTATATGTTTAAATACTCAATAATGATAATTTTACAATAAAGTTTCATTATAAACAAAATAGAAAATATCTAAGAGATAAAAAAGATACTTAAATAAATAACAAATTATTACTTGAAAAGAAGTATAATAGATCAATAATTAAAATAAAAATTTATTAAAACTATATAATTTATTATTCAATTTAATTATACATATAATTTAAATTTTTTATAAAAAAATATTATATTCATATATTCACATGTAACGTACGTCATGTATTAATACTTCTAGGAAGGGCACCATCTCACCCTCATATTAGATTTTTTTAATATAGATTTTCTTGATTTTATTTAATTTAATTCAATGATGGATCATTTTTTTTTGAATGAAAGACTCACTTATAAATAATAAATTTTACTTATATTAATGATAAAATAAATAAATAAATAAATGATCTTATTATAAATAGTGATAATTTTACGCCTAATCTATCATTCAAAATCAATTTTTTTTTTAAAAAGTGTAATAAAAGAATCTCGATCCGTCCTATTCTAAAGTGTCCATTTATGGAAAGAATCGTCATGTAGCTGGAATGGCAGTTTCGGTAATTTGAATAAGAACAGGTGGCAGATAGGTCACAAAGTAAAAAAGGAGTCTAAGTTCTGTCTTTCTCTCTCCCCTCTCTCTTCCGCGTGGTTACCCGTTACCGAACCTTCCGGTCACCCTTGTCCCGGCCGCATCGTCTGCTTTATATAGCCGCTTTTTCTTATTCCTTCTTCCTTCTTTCTACACCAAGCTAAAGGTGGACGAGCCATTGACAACGGAGAAGAGAGTAAATTGCGGCCTCTAATCATCACCACAGACACTGCATGACCAAACCCACCATGTCTTCCCGTTTTGCCCCTCGTTTTTCTATCTATTTCCAATTCGTTGACCCTCACTCCTACCGTTCCATCGTCGGCGCCAACCACACCTCCGCCCGCTTCTGCTCCCGATAATTCCCTCGAGATATACACATTTTCTTCTCTCTCTCTCTCTCTCTCTCTCACACACACACACATACACACACACACACACACGCAGAGAGAGAAATTCATAGATAGAAACATACGGACAGAGACACACACTCGGAGTTTATCATGGAACCCAGCACAGGGAAACCGAGCTTCCTTCGAAATATTCTGGTACGAGTCTTCCTTTTCTGTGTACTCATCATCGGAATTCGATTCGCCTACATTGTCATAATTCGGGGCGAGTCCTGCGACATTGGCGACTTCTGTTTCTTCTCCCTTCCTGAAAACCTCAACATGGTCGCCGTTATCGGCCAGTTCAGCAGCGGATCTTCCTCTGCCTCAACTATCATCGACAACGACTCTGTCCCGGCCAAGCCCAAAACTCCCGATCTTTGGGCCACCAAAGATTTCCAAAAGGCTGCACATTTCTATTCGTCTATTTTTCAGGATCTGATCTCCGAGGGCTATTTAAAACCCAATTCGAAGTCGCTTTGCGTCGAAACGCAAACGGGCCCTGAAGTTTTTGCACTAAAAGAAATCGGAGTTTCAGACTCCGTCGGAATTTTCAAGAAAGCTTCAAAGCCATTAGTGATTTCAGGTCAGACGATTAAACAACCTTTTAAAAATAATACTTTCGATTTCATATTTTCCGGTGCCGGAATGCTCGACAAATCTGCCAAGGCAGCCGATTTCGCTGCCGAGATTGGCCGAACCCTTAAGCCCGAAGGGTTTTTGGTTGTTCACACAGCGGCCAAAGATACTTATAGTTTCAATTCGTTTCTTGATTTGTTCAATTGTTGTAAATTGATGAGGTCTATAGATATTGATGGGTTTGATTTATCTATGCCCTATATTCATGAAATTGTAATGAAAAAAGAGAGTGAAATTGGAATTCAAGGCCACCGGGTGAAAAACCCCGGTGGCGATTTGGGGAATAAGTGCTCTGTTCCGGGGTATAAACAGGGATTGATCCGGAAAGCTGAGCCTGTGATTGAAGAGGAACCATCAAAACCATGGATTACATTGAAGAAAAATTTAAAGAATATAAAGTATTTAGGGTCGATGGTTGATATTAGTTTTAAGCAGAGGTATGTGTACATTGATGTCGGAGCTAGGAGCTATGGATCGAGTATTGTGAGTTGGTTCAAGAAACAGTATCCGAAGCAAAATAAGACCTTTGAAATCTATGCAATTGAGGCTGATAAGACTTTCCATGAAGAGTATAAGTTCAAGAAAGGGGTCACATTGTTACCTTATGCAGCGTGGGTGAGGAATGAGACGTTGTTCTTTGAAATTAATCAAGACCCAGGTCATAAGGTGGTGGAGAAAGGTAGAGGAATGGGTAGGATTCAACCGACTCAGTCCAAAGATGGTTCTGTTGGCGAGGTGGATAAGATTAAGGGGTTTGATTTTGCAGATTGGTTGAAGAGTACAGTGTCTGAGAGAGATTTTGTGGTGATGAAGATGGACGTGGAAGGTACGGAATTCGATTTGATTCCGAGGTTGTTTGAAACGGGAGCAATTTGTTTGATTGATGAGATCTTTCTTGAGTGCCATTACAATAGGTGGCAGAAATGCTGCCCTGGTGAGAGGACTCACAAGTATCAAAAGACTTATGGCCAATGCTTAGACCTGTTTACTTCTCTTAGAGAAAGTGGAGTTCTTGTTCATCAATGGTGGTGAATGGTAACTACCCCATACATCTTCCTGTAATATTATGTTGTTTTTTATTCCTTTTTTTTTTTTGCCTTTCTCCTACAGATGACAGTGATGTAATTTTTTTATATTTCCTCTCTCTGTATTCCAATTTCTTTTGTATTTGTAATTGTCCTTTAGAATGGAAAAATGGTTGAGGTTATGATCTCTCAATTGACTTCTGCCCTTTTACCCCATTTATCTATGACTTTTTGGCTCTGCAATTGTCTACTTTATTGGCTATGTCCTATTTATAATGGAAGTTGTAATTGTCTCCATGCATTATTAGGTGTGTGCTATGTAAAGCAGAAATAGTTACATTTAGCTTAGACTGTTGGATCTTGCAAAATCTTCTGACGGTTATGGGAAGGCGTTTTTACTTGTAGTGAAGCTCAATTGTAAGCTTGCTTCAAGAAAATATCAAAATTCTATGGTTGAATTTTCAAGCAATATGGTCTCTTTGATTCAGTTCTGCCCTCTCAGACAGCTGCATATGCGCAATTGGCCTTCCTTGTAATCTTGAAAGTTCAATTATAAACCCAATTGTTTCGCCCTTGGGTTGGTCTGCTTACCTTGTTAAACATTTTTTTTTTTTTTTTTGCTTTCTGGGGAAACGAATGTGGATCTTTGCAACTGGTTCTTCACATAGCTGCCATGATGTTTGGTGCCAAAAAAGACAAATCAGAGTGGCAAAGAGTTGTAGGTTCAGAACATATTTAAATCCTGTGTAGCTCCGTTTCAACGAAACATGAGTTGGATACATGGGGCTCATAGGTAATGTCCAACAAGAAGCAACTAGATGAAGAAATGTCTCTGTTTCCTATTTTTTTTTTTTTTTGGTAATTGTCATCTTGAGCAAGACCATATTATGAGCACTACCAGATTGGTATCAACCTGGAAATCTGTCAAAACTTTAAGATAATTAAATACGCAAGCAACTTCTGGGAATGTATTTCTAGGAAACGGGCAGTGGAAAAGATAGAATCAGATACTTGTAGACACTTCGAATCTTAACCCAACATGAATAACAATCATACGAGAATCAGTAGCCGCTGAAACACAATCTTTTGCATGAATGAGAATCTCTCCTCTGGCTCTGGTTAAAGCCCGGTTTGTTAGACGGGAAGGAATTGGATGATGAACAGATGTAGTAGATAGTGGTAACCACCAGTGAAGCTATCGACTGTCTGACCAAACACCTGCTTTCGGGACAAGGACAAAGCTTTCTTATGGAGACTAAATTAATAAGTGAGACCCAAATATATCACAACATCATTGCAATAAATATGAATTCCAGGTTAATATGTGACACCCAGAAAAGCAAACTTTGAGTGATTGGATTAGAGAGGAGATTAGTCGAGATGCACATAAGTTGATTCCGACACTCTTGACTATTGAACCAAAAAAAATAAAAATTGACAATCTCTCGCATGACCATCAAGTCATATATAATATTCATGAAAGTTATGAAAAATATTAGTCCATCTCTTATTTTTGTGGGTGTAATTTAATTTCTTCACAGACTAATGAACATCATGGAGAAACTAAGAAATTTTTTGCTATTAAAAGAAAAACTTTTGGATTAGCACCATTAGCTATTATTAGAAGTATAGGAAAATTACGTTAACAGTTATAACTGTTATAAATGGGTCTTCTTTAACTGTTATGGTCCCGTGGACTCAAGAGGGTTGCAATCAAAGCTCGTGGTTCGCACCATGGTTAGAATAGAACTTCAGAAATAGAATAAGAAGTAATTACCACAAATGAAAAAAGAAGAGAGATAAGAGAGAGGTTAATGTGATAGCAGATGTGCCATTTAGGCAATGAATTTGTCTACATGGCCTTTTTGTCAACGTGAAGATCTCTCTTGACTCTAAATGCGTTAAGATGAGCACGTTGATGAAGCAAAACAACCTTCGAAAAACGTTTAGATTGGATTGTTTAAATTACGTGTCTTTGTATGCATCTAATATTACAGCAATCATGAATGTGATGATCCTCACAAGGTAACATTCATGATTGCCCCCTTCTTTTTCTTGCTTTTAGAAACAGTAAATCCTTTCTAATCTCCATATCTAGGAATCAATTCATGCATTTCAGCTACTTGGGTCCCAAGAAAATCCTGTATTTCTTCTAGTTCCAGCATCTTTTTCCCGGAAAATTGTTGTGTCGTGACCAAATTTCGTTGAATTTTTCTGTCGAGGGGTTGGAAATATGGGTGCTTGTTGTACGTGTCAAAGGGTTCAGAGGTTTGATGGATTCTTTATTGAGGATGAGGAGGGTAAAGAGGCTGAAGAAGGGGACTTTGTAGGAAATGGAGATTTTGGGGCACGTGTGAGGTTGCAAGGATCATCTAGGTTTGCATCAATGTTCACCCAACAAGGGAAAAAAGGGACTAATCAAGATGCCATGACAGTTTGGCAGGTAACCTGTCGTGTTCATCATTTCTATATTTTTGTAAAGTTTCTTTGTCATTGCGTTTGGATACATAGACAATTTTCTGCTTTTGACAAAGAGTTGTTCATTTTTCCTTTTAATCTTTGTCTAAACAAATAACTCCTAAAAAATTGTGTTTTCTGGGCAATTCTCTCTCTCATTTTAATGTTCATCTTTTTTTTTTTCTTTGATTATGGATTTGAATCCCTCTGATATCATGCTTTTTACCATGTATTATTATTATTATTATTATTATTTTCAAATTAATGGTATCCAATATACTGCTTTTGGTGACAAAAGTACCATGCAAATCAAAAGTTGCTGCTTTCAGATTTTTTCTTGCTATTGATTCGAAGTTATGCCTTCTTTTAGACACATTTGTTCATTAAATAACATCTTGGCATCCTCGAAGTTAGCTTTGATTCTCAAAGTTTTCCTTGAACTGCTCGTTTCATCAATTTCCTTCTTTCTTTTTCAATATCATCATGTCAATTTACTCCAATTTCGGATGTTAAAAATACATGCCATCACATGATGATGCGCAAACAGCATTTTTCATGATATATATATGTGGCATTTTCTGTGAAATTTTTTTATGGAACTTGTGGTTTGGATTGATGCGTTACTGAAAGTTAGAGACGAAATTACTAAAATCAAAATCACAGTGACAACAATGGGAGTTGATGTAAACTCTAAGGTGCAGAGTACAAATGACCCTTACGTGGATATAACATTATAGCAATGGCAAATGTTAGTGTACCATATGACTTATTTTTGTTTGCAATCTTCAGAACTTTGCAGGGGAGAAAGATATGGTTTTCTGTGGTGTGTTCGACGGACATGGTCCATCAGGTCACAAGGTGGCACGTTACGTGCGTGATCTATTACCATCAAAACTTTCTTCATTATTGAAACACACACAAATAGGTGGGAGCAATGGCAGTACTGATGTTGATGACAAAAACAAAGAAAACACTGATAGCAAAGATGGTGACAACGATGACAATGATTGTCAGAATCCATTCTTCTCTTCATGGAAAGACACTGTTATCAAGTCCTTCAAAGAGACGGACGAAGAACTTGAAGGCAATACCACAGTTGAGAGCTACTGCAGCGGCACAACAGCAGTTACTATACTGAAAAAGGTATATGCATTATGCACTGTCAAATCCTTTTCAAAGATGACAAAATCATTTCGTTTTTGCTTAATATTGTTTGTTAAATTTTCAGGGTCACCATTTGATAATTGCAAATTTGGGGGACTCTCGTGCTGTTCTGTGCACTAGAGGCAACCAAGATCAACTAGTTTCAATCCAGCTTACTGTTGACTTAAAACCGAATCTTACAAGTATGTGTTTCCCCCTTCCATCTTCAGAGAAATACCATAATTTTCAATCTGATTCATCATTTCTATTTGTTCCTATCCAATTCAGATGAAGCAGAAAGAATTAAAAAATGCGGAGGCAGAGTTTTAGCATTGGAACAAGAACCGAATGTGTTTAGAATCTGGATGCCAGATGAAGATTGTCCAGGTCTTGCCATGGCAAGGGCTTTTGGAGACTTTTGTTTAAAGGATTTCGGCCTCGTTTCAATCCCAGAAGTATCTTATAGAAAGCTTACAGACAGAGATGAGTTTGTGGTCTTAGCAACTGACGGGGTAAGATAAATAACTCCTAATCTTGGCGTCTACGCCTACTATAAAGAAAGACAATCCGATTCCCATCATTGTGTATAATCATGAGTGATTATAATTCAATACAAGGATCTGGTAGCTCTACTGTGATACTAATTCCCCTGAAATCGATTGAAAATATAAACAACAACGCTGAAGACGACAGGAAAGCTTAGGAAACTTTCATTATACATAATTGTTATTGATGTTTGCATGATATATTTTCAATACTAAAACTAACAATGAATTATTTCCTAGGTGAAGGTGACTTATGTGGTCCTTCTTAATTGAAAATACTCTTTTGTTTTGCTTTAGGTATGGGATGTGTTGACAAATGATGAGGTGATTAGAATAGTTGCTTCAGCAAGGAAGCGATCCATGGCGGCTAGACTGTTGGTAGATTATGCTGTTCAAGCCTGGAGATATAAATATCCAGGTGCCAGGGTCGACGATTGTGCAGCCATATGCTTGTTCCTAAAGCGCCCGCGGCCATCGTTAACTAAATCCATGTCAGAAACTACTCATCTCAGTTTGGACTACTCAGTTGGAGCTCGTCATCAAAACACTACAACTGATGATGGCCTTGATACTGTATTAAATTGTGATGTTAAAGCTGATACAAAGAATGGGGACGATGCTCCTGATGAAGGAGTAGAAGATCAGGAGGATTCTTCTGTGTATATTCCGCCACGCAGCCGAACTCAGATTCGGCTGCGGCCAGCAAAAGGGCTCTGAATACCTTTAAAACTAATGTATCTCTTCAAACTTCAATGAAAAATTACTTTTTAATTGACTATGTACGCACGCGCAGTGAGTAGTATTCATTTGTTTTTTCACCTCCGACGGACTTTTGAATCGACTACGTACATCAAAGTGCGAAAACAACACGATTCTATCTCACATAATAAATTGGCCTCATTAAAATTATTAAAATTCATAAATGACCCTTTAATTATTATGTGACATGATAATTTTTTTATTAATGTTTTTGGTTCTCCCTCAATTAGAAACTCTGAACAACCCCATTCTGTTTGGAATAATGGTGTCAACATCTTATAGGATCAATCGACCAGTCTAACTGGTTTTCCTACTTGCATGGGACGCTTCATAGTATTCCTACGCAATCCACATAATAATAATGGTCAAACTTCAAAACCTCCATAATTAGCTGAAAAATTGCTATACTAAACTTGGACAACCACATATTTGTCTCCTTAATTAGTCCATGGAACAAAACTGTCAACTGCCAACTGCCAATAGACTTTTATTCTTATTCCTCTTTCTTTCTTTCTTTCTCTTTCTTCATCATCTCCGGTAACGAGAACGGAAAATGGAAAATTCAATCTCGCTGCCAGTCGTAAATGCTGCTTCTTTTGGGAAAGACCTTCGGGGACCTGAATATTGCAAGGTCTTTGAAGCAAAGGTGATTTACAATGGTGTATTTTCAAATGATCATATCACTCAGTTTGTTTTGCCACCTCTCCTGCTACAGCTTGGTTTAGTTACCTTCTTCTCAGGAGTCTTGCATTTCATCCTCAAGCCTCTCAGGCAGCCTAAATATGTTGCAGACATTCTTGTAAGTTATTGTCTTGTTATTACTTCTCTTAAAATTCGAGTAGCATTATTGATTGGGACAATCCTTCATCTAGCAGGAACCCAACTTCTCCACAGACCCCAATGACTTGATGGATCACTTGTTTAATTGCAATTGCCTGAAATATGGTTAATCAACTACAATGTGGTGTTTGAAACTATGTTTGGTAGAGCGTCCACTTTGATGATTAACAAATGAGTTAGACAATTGCAATGAACAAAAATTGAAACCAAGCTGTGGAGTGGTTTCATCTATCTATCTATCTATCGATCGATCTATCTATATATATATATAACATTGATGCTAATGATTTTGGTTGTGTCCACCAGAGTGGAATCATCTTAGGCCCTTCGGTTCTTGGACGCAGCAAAGCATTCAACGAAACCTTGTTCCCACCTAAAGGTATGATGGTGCTCGACGTCTATGAAATGGTGGGCATCATACTCTTCACCTTCTTGATTGGAGTACGAACAGATGTGCACATAGTTAGAAAAGCAGGAGGACTAGCAATCGCAATAGGCCTCGCATCTTTCCTACTTCCAGTGATCATTACAGAAATTACAGCCAAGATATTAAGGGCAACCATTACCATGGACAAGAAGCTTCATGATTCAATAGCCCTGGTGGGATTTCATGAATCCATGATTAATTACCATGCTGCTTTTTGTATCCTCAAGGACCTCAAGCTTGTCAATTCTGAACTAGGCCGTGTTGCTCTCTCTTCTTCAATGATCAGTGGCCTGTGCAGCTGGATATACTTGCTCATATATAGAATCACACTTGAAGCCCAACATGGTAGAACAATTGTGGTTCTAGCTGCACCAGCTAGCAGATTATTCATGCTAATTGTCATTTTATTTGCCATCCGCCCTTTCATGTACTGGATAATCAGACATACCCCAGAAGGGAAAACCTTAAAGGAATCATATGTTTGTGGAGTCACACTTGTGGTTTTTGGAATTGCCCTTTTTAGCCAAGTGACAGGAGTTCATCCTATCTTTACATCCATTGTACTGGGCTTAACTGTGCCTGATGGTTCGCCATTGGCTTCAGGATTGGTGGACAAGCTTGAGTCCTTTGTCTCAGCTGTGCTCTTGCCATCTTTCTTTGCAAATGTTGGCCAGAAGGTTGATGTCAAACATATGACACTTAGAACTTTTGGAATCGTGGTGCTTTTTATCGCGCTTGCATTGTTAGGGAAAATTATTGGGTGTATGGTGGCTTCACTCTATTGGAATATGCATCTCATGGATGCTTTGTTGGTCAGCCTCCTCTTGACTTGCCAAGGGTTATTAGATATTCAATTTTTCAGCCAATCAAGACAAAAAGAGGTGCTGTTCAAAATCAATTCTTTTTCATTTACTTATGACAACAGAGCAGTTACTCTTGTTCTTCATATTTTTCTCAACTATCACAGTGATATTTTCCATTCATAAAGATCACACAGATTTCATATAATGCAGAATTTCCTGATTTTCTAATTACTCGAGTTACTTATTTAGATTATCTTGCTCAAATACCATGCAGTTGCTTACTGAAGAGACCTTAAGTATAATGGTCATCATGGCAATTTTAAATGCAGCTGCTGTTACACTGTTGCTTCGATCCCTCTATAATCCTTCAAGAAGACATGTTACCTACAAAAGGCGTACGATTCAAGAAAATAGGCTTAATGCTGAGTTTCGAATTCTGGCATGTATTTTTCAAGAAGATAATGTCCCAATTATTATCAACATCCTTGAAGCCTCCAATCCATGCAGAGAAAGCCCCATTGGAGTCTATGTTTTAGACCTGGTGGAGCTTGTTGGCCGGGCCATGCCTCTATTTATCACTCACAAGTTGAACAGAAACCCTTCTAATAAGTCTACAAGAAGCCATCGGATCATCAGAGCCTTCTGTCAGTATGAAGGGCGTAATGAAGGGTTAGTCAATTTACAGTGCTTCACCTCCATCGCGCCTTATGCTACCATCTATTCAGATATATGTGCAGTGGCACTAGAGAAGAGCATATCCCTAGTCATCATTCCTTTTCACAAAGCAAATGGCCATTCAATAAGGGCAGTGAACAAAAGTGTACTTGAAAATGCTCCATGTTCAGTTGGGATCCTAGTGGATCAAAGGATGGTTGAGAACTCTAAAGCCAGACACAGATCATGGTTTACCTTCCATGTTTGTGTAATCTTCATCGGAGGACCTGATGATCGTGAGACACTTGTGTATGGAGCTCGGATGGCTGAGCACCCTGGCATTAGGCTTACAATCATTCGAATAACTGCTCTCAATAATGATACTAATGACATAAATGCAGACAGGGAGCTCGATTTTAATGCCGTGAATAAATTTAAAGATGATACAATGGATAACAACCGCGTTGTATATAAGGAAGAAGGTGTGACAGAAGGATCTGGGACAACTCGGGTGCTTCAATCGTTGAACAACAATAGTTACGATATTGTGTTGGTGGGAAGAAGGCACGACGCTGAATCGTCAATCATGTCTGGACTTGCTGCATGGAGTGAGATTGTGGAATTGGGAGTCATTGGAGACATACTTTCATCTTCTGATCTTAAGGGCAATGCAGCAGTTTTGGTGGTGCAACAACAAGCCTTACTAGCAGAAGATATGCTTCAAAGCCACATAGACACAGACAAAGACCCGACCCATTCTAGTTCAATTGCTGCTTCTCATCCTGTGGATTCTGAAAAGTGGAAATTTTAAAGAGGATACAACTTATTTCGTTTGTAATGCAACGATAACCTCTTGTGCACCCATATTGGCAAGTTCTGTACATATATCTCAATACTTTTTAGAAACTGATTGAGGGTAATAGTTGGAAAGGCAATTCCAAATGCCACGGACACTGCTGAAACATTTGAAATCCAATCCCCTGTAGTTCAGTATTGGTTGGGTCATCGACCCAAGCCGGGGTACCTATGGTGGGTCGATGCAATTGGAAAATGCCTAAGGAACATGACTTTTGAAGGTTTCATTTATCACCCAAATGATGTATCGATTAAATGTTAAAAGGTATATTCCTACACAATGTATCTTATCACGACTTCTATTGGTTGTCGATCTACAACCAAGTTAATTCTCTCTCTCTCCTTCCCTAAATAACATTCAATAAGACTCTTGTACTATAGAAAGTTTGGTGTTGATTCCTCTTATAACAACACTATATTGTTCGAATAAGCAAATAAAAAATGGTGAAATTTTTAAATTTCTAAAGTATTGGAAACATTCTTCAAAAGGTAAAGTGAATATGGACTCTTAATCCTATGTTTCCACATATGTATATGATTCCTAACACTACAATCAACCTGTCTTCAGAAACTAAATGTCACACATTTACATTACCCTATAAAATTAAATAATTTTATTGATTTATATCATTATTAACACTTATTATCACAATCTATATAATAAAACATAAGAGCATTTGAATTTTATACCTCATATATTTTCCCCCCCCAAACTTATCACTTCTCGCACACTCTACCACTCTACCATTGTCAGACAGGCCACTTCCCCAAATCCATGCCGAAGACAAGCGGCGAGACAGACATCACTTCCCCAAATCCATGCCTTCGTCTTCACTTCAAACGTCTCTTGCCATAGCCACAACCACTGCCACCGAGTTCGCTACAGCTACAGCCACTGTCACTGCTAGGTAATCCCTCCATCCCTCTTTTGTGCAAACACCATCCCCTCCCCTTCAATTCTTTTTGTTTTGTTTTTCTGCTTACTTTCCAATGCGCAAACACCACCTCATCCTCTCTCTCTCTCTCTCTCTCTCTCGCGCACGCTAGACATCCATCAGCACCACCAAATCACCACCACAACTCCGGTGATCTCTCTTTTTCCCCATCCCTTCGTAATGCACATGAAGTGTTCGTCAAAATGCCCCAATCACCACCGCTTACACCTCTTACGGAGGACCTTATTGGGGTTTCTAGGAAGTTTACCCCAGTTGGCAACAAGGCTTGAAGCCTTTGCATACCTGTTCCAATAATACCCCTTAAAAAGTTTGCTACATGGTTTATTGTCCTCATAATGACTCATTTTGTTTTTCTGTAGTCTTAACTAACTTGATAGATACATCTTTTTGCTATGTATCTTGATGCAACTGAAATCTGAAATCAAGCTTTGGTTTATTGTTGTTCAATTACTATCTCTGCTAATTGTTGAATCTATCACAGGACAATCTGTAAAGGATTTATCATTAGTACAGTTTTATCCTTTGTTAGTTCATGCATTGATGCTTTCAGTGGATTTTGAACTTTGAAATTCTAATCTTCATGGGACATCCAAATATTCAGATTACTTGAATCACTTTTTGCAGTATCCTTACTCTAAAATCAGTTATCATTCCAACAATACTGTAGATATTACCAGATCAGTGCCCACAATTTAGTGCTCAAGAACCATACTCATTTGGTGGTGTATTAAAATTTTATTCCTTCTTACGTCTTGGACTCATACAACTCTTCTATGTGAGTATACTTTTGATATCATATCCTATACTCCTTTCATTCACTATCTAACATAGTTTGATGAAATTGATATGCATGTCTTGCAAATCCTTTGTATTTTGCGTACTATTTGTTATTCATGTTTTTATTTTGGGGACCATTGCGTTGGTGTTTGCATTCTCTTTCAAATATTATGTGTGTGATATGAAATAATTGATGGGACATTTTCAAGTACTCCAAGATGAAGACACGTGTCCTCGACATCAGTAATTCTTGTTACTATAATCACGACACGTACCCGTCAGATCACAAGTCTCTGTTCCCCCGAGGTACTGTTCATAGGGATCAATGACACCCAATACATTACGTACTGACACGTATCCTTCAGTCGGATATGGGTACATCGGTCCCTACATGTACCACTCCCCCTCGGTACCGAGATGTACCCGTCCAGGATGGCGTTCTCTGCTCCTACAGAAGCTATTGATGTACAGGTCACTAGCCTAGGTTAAGCTAGGTTAGTCATCATGACCTCGTCTTACACAATTGGTGTTAGCAGACACAAGAAGTCAGAAGACACAGCCAATGGGGAATGGACGCGTGGCATATTGTGTCACATCAGAGACAAAAAGACCGGATGCCCTTGCTGACACACGACTTGGGAAAGCAATCATTTAATTACATCATTTCCTTGATGAGACAACATTTAATGCGGTAAGGCTCGGAAGTGAAAGGTAATAAATGTCCCTAAGACTGAGCATTTATTACATCCTTGCCGAGAGGAGCTCATTAAACAGTCGGCAGGCCGATGACGCAGCCTTGGTTGCTCGGGATCCCGAACAGTTAAAAGAGCAGACATTCCTCATAGGAATTAGTGCACACGTTGCCCGTATCTAATGATCATCTACTGACCACACTGACAGAAATCATGAGTTTTTGAGGTATAAATACTCCTCACAAAAAGCAAGACGGTATGCAACAAAAAACCTTTTCTCAAACTTATATTCAGTGTTTTCTTCTTCCCCTCTCTCAAAAACTGACTTGATCGTCAGAGGGGATACGCCGAAAAACACTCCGGCGCCCTTCTAACTTGTCTTTCTCTGTTCCAGGAACCTTCCTCAGCCTTACTGGACCGCTCCCTTGATCCACGAAAGTCACCTATTACCATTCCAGGCCACCAACGGATCTCAGCCTGTTCCAAATAGCAAGGTTGACCATTTGATTGACTGACTCGAGTTCACCATGAGAGATATCTGTTCTCGTGTTTATATTATGCAAGATCCTGCATGCACAATCTGGCGCCGTCTGTGGGAAACGACTAGTTTTCCTAGTTTCTTCTCTATAAAGAACAGTGACCATGATGAATACTTGACTAAAAGAGAAATGTCCCCATCAAAGAAGTCTTGAATTACGAGCTCCATGTCATAATGGAGGGAGGGATCACACAGATGGGAATAGAAATGCCTCTATTCAGTCAAGAGGGCTTACTCAAACCAGTATGGGCATCAGGTCAGGAGGATCCGCCCCCTTGGCTCGTCAACTGGCGAGGGTGATCGAAGAAAAATTTGGGGATCGATTACGACAGTTGGAAAAAGACAATATGAACGTCCTAAGCCGGCTCAATGAATTCGCCGCCTCCGGCGAATGGTCGAGGGACTCATTCCTTTCTCGTGGACTCCCTGCCCGGGAGGAGGAAACAAAGGATCTAAGGAATCATTTAAATAACAAGGTAGAAAGCTCTAGGGTCCCAAAGCGACCAAGAGCCAATGAACACCCTCTTAACGACCATTCCAGGAAGGCAAGACCTTTAGCCCTGGACGACCTCCGACGAGGATTGTCAAGGCGGAGGAAGGGAGATGAGTCTGAGGAGGATTCAACCCTATCCACAAGACGCCCAGGAAATGGGGGACCTATTGATGAACTCGGAGACTTCAGAAGACATTCCGTTGCNCGTCTTGGACTCATACAACTCTTCTATGTGAGTATACTTTTGATATCATATCCTATACTCCTTTCATTCACTATCTAACATAGTTTGATGAAATTGATATGCATGTCTTGCAAATCCTTTGTATTTTGCGTACTATTTGTTATTCATGTTTTTATTTTGGGGACCATTGCGTTGGTGTTTGCATTCTCTTTCAAATATTATGTGTGTGATATGAAATAATTGATGGGACATTTTCAAGTACTCCAAGATGAAGACACGTGTCCTCGACATCAGTAATTCTTGTTACTATAATCACGACACGTACCCGTCAGATCACAAGTCTCTGTTCCCCCGAGGTACTGTTCATAGGGATCAATGACACCCAATACATTACGTACTGACACGTATCCTTCAGTCGGATATGGGTACATCGGTCCCTACATGTACCACTCCCCCTCGGTACCGAGATGTACCCGTCCAGGATGGCGTTCTCTGCTCCTACAGAAGCTATTGATGTACAGGTCACTAGCCTAGGTTAAGCTAGGTTAGTCATCATGACCTCGTCTTACACAATTGGTGTTAGCAGACACAAGAAGTCAGAAGACACAGCCAATGGGGAATGGACGCGTGGCATATTGTGTCACATCAGAGACAAAAAGACCGGATGCCCTTGCTGACACACGACTTGGGAAAGCAATCATTTAATTACATCATTTCCTTGATGAGACAACATTTAATGCGGTAAGGCTCGGAAGTGAAAGGTAATAAATGTCCCTAAGACTGAGCATTTATTACATCCTTGCCGAGAGGAGCTCATTAAACAGTCGGCAGGCCGATGACGCAGCCTTGGTTGCTCGGGATCCCGAACAGTTAAAAGAGCAGACATTCCTCATAGGAATTAGTGCACACGTTGCCCGTATCTAATGATCATCTACTGACCACACTGACAGAAATCATGAGTTTTTGAGGTATAAATACTCCTCACAAAAAGCAAGACGGTATGCAACAAAAAACCTTTTCTCAAACTTATATTCAGTGTTTTCTTCTTCCCCTCTCTCAAAAACTGACTTGATCGTCAGAGGGGATACGCCGAAAAACACTCCGGCGCCCTTCTAACTTGTCTTTCTCTGTTCCAGGAACCTTCCTCAGCCTTACTGGACCGCTCCCTTGATCCACGAAAGTCACCTATTACCATTCCAGGCCACCAACGGATCTCAGCCTGTTCCAAATAGCAAGGTTGACCATTTGATTGACTGACTCGAGTTCACCATGAGAGATATCTGTTCTCGTGTTTATATTATGCAAGATCCTGCATG